GCATATTGAATATTGAGTTCCTTTGTGTTGTATTGAGTTCCTTTATTGGCACATAGTGCATATTGAATTCCTTTGTAGGTGCACATGCATTCCTTTGTAGTAGGACCTTGTAGGCTAGCCAAATTCCCTCAAGGCAGTGCTCTCACCAGCCAAATTCCCTCACCTGCATGTACTAGACTAGCTAAAATCCCTCATTGGATCTTCAGGCCAGCTAAAATGCCTCAAAATCCTGTACCCTGAGGCTAAAATCCCTCACATTTGTCTATATAAGGAGGCCTCTGTCTGCCAGTTGTTCCCTCCATCATCCCACCAGTGGACCAGATCATCTCAACCACCCTTACAGATTATATACAAGTGACAGCCATAACAATACATTATATTGAAATACAACCATAACAGTTTCATCATCATAACAAGTGCCAAGTGCCCATAACCTGCCTCACATACCATTACTGGTTGAAGCATAGAGCTCCCAGAGCTCCAAGCCTTGGTATTAAAGCTTTGAACAACAACTCCATCAATACAATCATCACTCATTAACAACTTCAGACCCTTATACACATCACTCGGAAGCTTCATCTTGAACTATCCTCTATCACGCTAAATATAACTGCCAAGCTAAGCTTGGTGGTCTTGTTGTTCTGATAGCATAGAAGGGCAGAGCTTGCAACTCCAACATACCCTTCTCCATTCAGCAAAAGGGTTTTCATAACCACTTTTGAGTCTTACAGCGCCCATCCAGGCTCGCCCCCAGGACACATACTAGCACACCGGCGGGGCCGACCGGACCCAACGCCGACACAGTTCTGCACCTGTGACGGCCCATTTCCCTGGGGCACCATTGCGCACAGACCTGAGCCGTTCACCGTCAGGGTTGACTCAGCGGTATCTCACTGGTCCCCTGGGCGCCGTTGTGCCGGCCAATTCAGGTTGCACTTTCGTGGTGCTCCTGGATTTCTTGATTTGCCCCCCTGTGTATGAGGAATAAGGGTTTCAAGATTCAATGTGACACAACAAGAAATTCAAATCATGTGTACCAAAAAAAATGGAAGATGGAAGAAAGAGGAGGAGGATGCCAAGAAGAGAAGTATTTCCATGTCCGTTGGCCTGACAGTGAAGATGATGATGACCCACAAAAGAGTGTCAATGTTGGATGGGCCAATTCTTGTCCCACAAAACCAGTGGAAATCATATACTAGGGGAGAAATGATTTGATGTGTCTTGATTGTAATGTGAGACTCAGACAAGGATTGATTGAAATTTTTGCACAATTGTGTACAGTGGGTTCCCCGTTATTTTTGGCGCAGGGTAACTTGGGGTACAAACTGGTGACATCCCAGGTGAGCCTGGGATGCACTGGCTTGTCATATTTGTAGTGATCGGAGTGGTCAACAAGGTCAACCACTCCAATCACCCACACAAATCAATCCTCATCACCCCAAACAACTTCCTCGCCGCCTCAGAACAACCGGTGTGGAAAGTAAGGCAAACCCTAGGAGATTTCTTGCACTTCCCCGCTCCGCAATGCACCCTTTTTCCGGTTTGTTGTCCAGGGTAACTTGCTTGATAGTCTTGTAGGTAGGTACAATAACTTATTCTTTTATTGTTTGCTTGGTAATACTCTAACTCTTTCTATCTCTAACAATTCTTTAGGCTAATACACAATTCACTCCTAAGTCCCCCTGTTTTTCTGATATGTTCCGAGTCATAAGTGTTGAACTTAAAAGGTTTTACTTATCACTTTCTCTTTTAAGTTAGTTATTTATTTATTCTTCTCGTATTTTAAGCATACTTTATTCATATACACAATTATCATTAGCGCAGCAGTTGTAGCTCAAAACCTAGTTGATTGACTATAATTACCTTACTTTCATTGTACCGGTACTTTTCTCTAATCAATCAATTGTTTCATCAAACTCCAACTCGTTCTCTCACTAACCTCAACCTTAAACTTCAGGTTTGTTTCTCTTATTAAAAAGTCAGATCACGTTGTTGTCTTCTTAACATCTTAACTCTCTCTTCATGTCTAGGTTTGTGATTATCTGCAAGGTCATATTAGTCGTTGTCGTTTAGACACTAATATCACCATCTTGTTAAAGGTTTGTGATTATCTGCGAGGTCATATTAGTCGTTGTCGTTTAGACACTAATATCACCATCTTGTTAAAGGTTTGTGATTATCTGCGAGGTCATATTAGTTGTTGTCGTTTAGACACTAATATCACCATCTTGTTAAAGCTCGTTGTTCTTTAATAAGTTCCCCCTCTCTCTCTCTTTCCACCCTGAACTCCAACTCTGCCGGCTATCCCACACACGTTCCCCCCCTGTCCTCCGCTGTCACTCCCTTGCACCCTGCTTGTCACCCCTCCAATGCCCGCCAGTCAGTGCACTACTCCGGCCGCTACTCAGACAGGTCTCCCACCGCCGCTTCCGCCTCTGTTCCGGCCGCTCTGGACCCCGCTTCCGCCTCTCGGTGCCCCCGCTCCATCATAGCCCCTCCGCAGTATACGGTAACCCCGGTCCGCAGTTGGCTGTGAACCCCGTCATCTGCCAGCGCCTGGATTCCCGCAGTAAGCTTTCAAAACCTTGTGCATTCGGCCCGTTTTTCCCCTCTTTCCCACACCTTGGAACGCTAGACTTTCTATTTGTGCGCCGCTGCTTTCCTCAGCCTGCGCATGTAGCGTCAGCTCCGCATGCTTTCCGCATCCACCCAAACAGTTTGGCCAAAGCTTTGGTCGTGGCGCCAATGCTGAAACAGATACGGTATCTGCCATGTATCACTATGTATCTGAGCCCCAATAAAAAAAACTATCTGACCAATCTGCTTTTATTTGCAAGGAGATTCAACAAATTTGGTTTTTGGCCATGCAGCTTTGCAGAATTCTCCATGATACACACAGTGTATTGTATCTGTTACAGTGTTGGTGGTGCACTCTCACCACCACACCGGCCAGACCATAACCAATCAATGTCAGTTTCCTTCTTTATAGTATTCATGAAAAAAACTAACTTGTATCTTGGTTTTTCTAGATGGTCTGAAACCCAAATGCTAAGCCTCACCTGTCAACCAAGCAGAAGGCAAAGATTTTTGGGATGTCGGACACTGGGATTACACCTACTGCCATTGGATCTAGGTTTGGGATTGGGAGCACAACAATCTCCGTGATCATTGCTTGATCAGCTGAGTGCAGGACCATTGCCACAGCCCCCAGAAGCGGAAGACCATGCATCACCAATAACCAGGACGTTTGCCAGCTGCGGGAGGTCCTTGAAGAGAATCCATGTATGAAGATGGCTGAGGTGAAGGACCTCCTGACCACCCCCATCTCAACCAAGACCACACGTTGTCAAGCCCATGAACTGGGCTTCAATAACCGGGCTGCGGTCAAGAAGCCCTTCCTCAGCGAGTCCCACCGGCGATGTTGACTCCAGTTTGCAAAACACCACAAGGATTGGACTCCTGAAAACTGGCAAAAGATCCTCTGGACCAATGAATCCTTGTTTGAGATTGGTAAACCATCAAAACAAGTGGTCGTTTGGGGCAAGAGGGATGCAAAATACAGCCCCAAGAACCTTGTGCCAACCTTCAAGAGCAGCAGGAAGTCAAGAATGGTCATGGGCGCTTTTTTTCAGTCAAACCAGGGCCCCTGATCTTGCCGCCATTGTTCCTCCTGGTCAACAAAAAAGCCAAAGATTTAATCAAAAACATTTATGAATGGCACCTCCTTCTGTTCCTCGAGGATGTTGACCCCCAATTACCACTGCCTGAGCTTGATGGAGGACAACACCCCTGTCCATACCACCCCGGCTCCAGCCATGAATTTCTCAATTCTACAACATTGACAGATCGACTGGCCTGCTCAATACCCCTACTTTTAAACCCATTCACGAACGTCTGGCTTTTCCATAAGCGCAACCTTCGGCGATCTGTATCCACCTCAATCAGTCCCCAAATAGCACAAGGCTCTCAATCAGACTGGTCGGCCTTCCCAAGCTATATTCTTGAAAACCTTGTCAATTCAATACCAAAAAGAATCACAGAGGTTATCAAGGCTGATGGGGGGTCTGTAAGATGGTAGTTTTCATTTTTTTTGTTTTCTCAAAAAAAAGCAAAACAAACTAAAAAAACCAAAAATAAACAATATTTTTCAGGTTTTTTTTTTATTTTTATAATCATTCTTCCCAGACTCCTCTCCATCCCCGCTTCCAGCTCCCTTATTTTGAAGAAGATTACTTTTGTAAGTAGAAAATAGCCAAAAACAAAAAACAAAAACAGAATAATTTTTATCTTTATCTTTTTTTTCATATGTTGTGTAATCAAAGGAAGTGTCCTATCATCATTGTGAGCCCCTAGAGCCCCCCTGTGACCAACAACTTGGAGCCTCAAAAACACTCCTTGTCCCTTAAAAACAAATCATTGAGGCGCCAAAATTAACAGGGCACCCACTGTACATACATTACATCACTTAGAGAATCTCCACCTGGGGAGCTAAACCGGGTTGCTATTCCGTGTTTAGCAACCCAATCCAAATATTCCTCACCCACCCGGGGTGCTAAATGAGTTTCTATTTTACCTCGGGAGGTAAAAATTGTCATCCGGTTGTCAAATTCAGCAACCCACTAGCAACTCACCAGCACCTGTGAAAGTCACCAATCCGATGACACCTCTCTGTTTTCCTTGTGAATCCCAGATGACAAATCATCACATGTGTCACTCCCACCCCCGTTCACAGGCCTCTGGTAGGTATTATAGCAACCACGGGTGTTTGCCAGGGCCGATTGGGTTGTCAAACATCAACTTTGCGTTGCCATCCCACCCAGAATAGCAACCCGGTTTAGCTCCCTGGGTGGAGATGCTCTTAGTGCTTTGCAGCGCTTGTCTCTTCTTGTGTTGTCCTAAATCTGCTAGACCAACCAAGTCAGTCAAGAAAAACCAGACACCCTGCTGCCTCATCCAAGACATCACATTGGACACATCTCTCTCTCTCTCTCTCTTTGTCTCTCATTTGGCATGCATTGTTACCACAGGTTTCTCGCATTATCTCTACAAGTTGTATCAAAAAAAGAAAGGCCTGATCAGGAAGAGTGTATGTATGTCTCTCTCAAAAAAAAGAAAAAAAGAAAAAACAAGAATGTGAACAAGGAAAGAAAACAAAGAAATCACACACATATACACATACAGGTACAGGCTGAAGAAGAAGAAATGGAATGAAATGAATGGAAGAAGAAGTGTACACGAGTTTTGACAAAAAAGGAAAAAAAAAAAAACGCAATGAAAGTATTGTTGAGTAAAACAGGGGAGGGGGGGGGGGAGCCCAAAATCTGAGAGAGAAGGAGAAAGAATGAATCTGAAAGAAAGCAGTAGTAGTAGTAGTGAAGAAATGCGTGGTCAATTACAGACAAGAAACTACGTCCGTTTGTGTTTTTTTTTGGTTGACTGAAGGGGGCAGGCAACAAAAGATGGAAACAAAGTAAGTATTTCTGGTGGGGGGGGGGGACCAGAGCAACAAATCGAAGGACTGGACGCGAGAGGCTTACCGTGTGGGGTCTTCTTCTTCTTCTTCTTCTTTAGGACACCCAGAAGGCCAGCCCGATGATCACATACAGCGACACCAACATCGCCCCTTCCATGTAGTTACTTTTTCCGTCTTGGATCAACAGGGTCGTCAAGAGGACCGAGAATACAAGACAGATCGTCTCAAAGTTTGCAAAAAATAACTGCATATTCATCCCGTTTTCTTCGCGTCAACTTACTGAGTTATCATTTTTCTTGAAAGGAAATCGGAGTTGCTTACAGTCAATTCTTTTCCGGTCGCCCAACCGATAATCACCTGGAAGAAATTGCAAGTACAATTGGTCAGATTACAGCAATTCAGGACTACTATCGAGGGGGATGAAATTGCCTATCGCACCATGATAGGGATAACACCGACGGCAATTTGCTGATGAAAAAAGAGGAGGAAGTGCAAAACATTAATCAAAAGGATAAACGATGAGGACTTTCATCAAAAAAAAAAAAAGAAGTACATACGATACTACTGCCGACAGCGACCCCGATAGCGAGTTCCATTTTCCCCTTCATCGCCATAAAGACCGCCGTGACATGTTCGGCTGCGTTACCGACGATAGGCAGCAGGATCAAGCCAATAAACGCTTTGGGGATCCCGGCCTGTTGGGCGAATTCGTCGATCGAGTCCACCAGATACTCCGCACAGAAGGCAGTCACCACCGTCACCCCGACCAGGGCACCGGTCGCCGTGCGGAAGTTCATGCGGGCCTCCTCCTCCTCGGGCTCTGAGGACGAGTCCTCATACAAGTATGAATGCGTGCTGAGCTGGAAGTAGAGATATAGGATGTACATGGCCAACAGCAGCTGTAGTTACAAAAAAAAAAAGTTTCAACTCAAACCACCACAAAACCTGATTGACATCTCTTTACAACTCACAACTGAAGTCCCGCGAGAGATGACCAGCAAGCCATGGTGTGCGAATTCTGTTTTATCGTGGTGGGACTGAAGACCTGAGGCCAGACCGTTGACGAGATCCTGACCAGACGGGATGGCAGCATTTCCACGACCAGTGTTGATCTTATCGAGGAAGCTTGAGAAATACGCAGCAGGGATGACGAGGGCGATACAGGCTAGTAACATCAGGGAGGCCGATGCCTGCGCAGCGGTGGCTTGGAACTTGGACTCCTTGAACTTGAAGCCTGCGGCGATGAAGGAACAGCCGAGGACGAGAAGAATGTTGGACAGGATTGAGCCCAGCATCGAGGTTTGGACGATCCGGAGCTGGTTCTGCGAGAGGGCTACAATTCCAACCTTGAGAGTGGAAAACGCGAGTTAAAAGGAAGTAACATAGGATTAGTTAAACAATGAGAGATAAATCTGCTTGATACGATTCCCCAAACTGACGATGGCTTCGACTGCGTTACCAAAGGTAGCATTCAGCAGTCCTCCCAGTGTGGATCCAACTTTGAGAGCTACCTGTTCGGTAGCATCACCTAGAAGACCTGCCAGCGGGATGATGGCAATGAAGGAGATAATGAAGTCGGCCATCGATCCCCAGTGGAGGAAATGGGAGATGAAGGAGAGTGGGACGGCGACAAGAAGGACGTTGACATATGAACTGCAGATGAAGTTTTTCAACGATTGGACGTCTGTTGGTGCGTTTGCCTGTATCAAATCAAACGGACAAGAGAATGAATGGATCAATGTCAGCTTGTGATTAAAATATCCGTGTCAATTCAATCGTAGAGTTTGTTGGGCGTTGGAATATCACAGCCTAAATACAGCAAACATCCTGAGTGATGCAGAAGTTTGAATGTGTGTTTGATAATAAGAACACACATTCTGTTCTCTGTTGTCTCATTTTTGGTCAACATGAGAATCATCATGATCATCATCAGTCAAAAGAGAGAATGAGACTCTTGAGGCAAGCAGATTGAAAAGAGAAAAAGAAAAAAAGAGGAAAACCGATAATGACGAAGAGACACGGGCTGGAGGGTGATGATCGACAGGATCAAGAGGCTCACGCCAAAGAAGATCTTTGAAGCACCACCTGGAGACATAGAGGGTGAGGGAGGATGAAAGTTGTTAGGGATCTGAGGAGGCCATCATGATCGGATGCGCAGCCAAAGGTTAGTTGTTGCCAGTCGGATATCAATAAATGGTTGGAACCAAGGATAGTAGTGATCATTAGCTTGGTATGGCGGGGCAATGGATATTGTATATAGATTGTATATAGGTATCAAATAATAGGAAACGGGAAGAGACGGATTCAGAGAGGAACAATCAACACAGTTTTTTTTTTTTTTTTTTGATAGTATGGGGAAAAAGATCAAGAATTTGACAGAGAGATTGATAGAGGAAATGAAGGAGGATGGAGAGAAAAGGTTTTCGAAAACATAAAGAGCTCTGGACTAACGTGATGAGCAAACAATCCAGAGTTAGAGGTCGACCGAGTTGCTTCGAGGTCTTGGATCAGTGGGGTAGATTCGCCATCGATCCGCAGGGAAGGTTTCGGGGCTGTAAAAAAAACATAACGGGGAGGAGCAGAAAGCTTCAGTATCCTATTTCGATGTTAATGTTTTCTTGACTTGTTTCAGCGTTTACAAAAAAAAAAGGATGAAGAACTACTGACGAGCCATTTATTAAGATTTGATTTGATTTCTTTTTTTTTTGTTGAGATGGGTAGGTGGGTGTGTGGTCGATGGGGATTTTTCTGGATGTGATTGCGGAGGAGGCAATGAGAGCGATGGATGCTGTGGGTGGGAGGGTACAAAAAAGAGAAGGTTCAGGATAAGATGAAGAGTTGTTTACATGTGGTGAATTGTTTATGTACTGACTTGTGTTTGTTTGTTTGTTTGTTTGTCCTTCGGCCTCCTCCTGCGCAGAACTTTAAGATGTGTATGTTTCTTGGCAGTTGTCTGTTAATGAGATTGAAGCTGGGGATGGAGCCAAGCAGAGTGGGACTAGGACTCGGAGGAGAAGTTGGCAGGGAAATCGAGAGCTTCAGCACCCTCGCGACCCAGCCAGCCTAGCATACATCCCACCCAGTTCCAACTGCATGACGTCAGCGGCTTCCACCCACACACACTCACACCACGTGTTGACTCCCACCCATCATCGCCCTCCGGAAGCCCATCCACCCACTTGACCAGCTCACAGACAAAGACACCACTGGACAGATGACTCTGCAAAGCTAGAGTAGCCCGCCATGAAGCTTTCTCTAGTACAAGATCATGCTCATTGCTAAGACTGAGTGAACTCAAAGAGAGATCAATTATCCTCATAGCAACAACAACAAAAAAGATCTGGAGCTGGTGTTCTTGTGTCATGTCACAGATCGATACATAGACATCGACGACAATGCCCAAGAACACAACATTCCCATCAACTGACGTGCCAAGTAGGTCCTTTGTAAATAGGAAGATGTCCAAGAACTCAATAATCACACTCAGCAAAGGGTCGTAACAGAGAAAACTACAATCTATATAGAAAGAGTGACTGAAAGCGACATGTTCTTGGTCTAATCTGTTGTGACATACTTGACAATCTGCGCAAAAAAGAGGAAAAAAAAAGTTTGCTCTGGCATAGATTGAGCAGGAGAGATTCAATGTGAATGTTGAGTACAGCAAACAAAGATTTTCGAAAACGAGTTCAAGAAAAACACGAGGGTTGATGATAAAGGATACATGAGAACAGATCACAAATTTGGAGATCGAGAAAGAGGAAAGTTCAGAGAGGGGCGCTCAGGGTCTATGTGAGCCAAGCGCGTTGGTTGCGGGCTTTCTTCTCCATCTTCTGCTGTTTGAATTGGTTCAGTTGGGCCTTGGATAGCTTCTTGCCTTGTTCGAGGGCCGCAGCCCTGGTCTCTTTGGACGTCCCGGGAACCCGGCCGTTATGTTTCTCCAAGCTGTTTGGGTGATTGTAATTTTTGAGAGATCGATGTGCAACAACAATAGCAAGGTCCAATCAAGATCTTCATCAGTTTCAAAACGAGTTGGGTTCCACTGAAAGAAGGGCAATCTCTCGTACGTTTTCTCCCAACCAGTCACATCAAAGAACGCCTCAGCTTGAGTCCGGGCGCGAGCGAATTCGGAGACTCTGGCAGGATCGCGGGTAGGGTCGCCCTCGAACCGTCCGGTTTTGGCGTTAAACCGAGCGGCGAACCGGGGCTCGGTTTGGGAGGCGTGGCCGTGGATGAGTCTTGCGAAGTGGGGATCCAGATGGGCCAGTTCTGGATCGATGCCGCCCAGGTCCGGCGCCGGGTGAGCCGCCACCACCACCGCTGCGGGCTCAGTGGCCGGCACCAATGGATTCCTCCACGTCGTCTCGCCCGTCTTCGAGTTCACGAAGTAGTACGCGTTCGTCCTGCGAGCCATTCGGACCACCAGGCCGGAGAACTTTTCAGTCATCTCTATTCCGAGCCCCCAGACAGTCCAGCTCAAAGTTCACATACTGTGTGTCATATACCGCTTCCCAATCTCCGTTGGAGTAGACCACTGGCTTCGGATCAGCTGTTTGAAGCTCCGACTGGGACCCGGTCTCACTAGCAGGAGCGTTTGATTCCCGGCTCGTTGATGCTGTGGGGTGCGGGTCTTCTTGAGGAGGGGCTTTCAATCCAGCTTCGGAAGTGTCGCGTGAGTCTTTTGATTGGATCTTCTCCGATTTTCCTGTGGATGGTTCTGGTTGCGATTGGCTGTGTTCATCATCAAGAGGGACTACAAGTTGAGTTGTGGATGTATGGAGGGGTCCTGAATCGCCGGCTTGCTCCGGAGACTGGTCAGGATGATGGTGACTCTCGGTCTTGACAGCCTTGGTAGGGTGGCTCGAGGCCTGATCGGAGGCCGACGAAGCTGAGTGAGATCGGGTTCGTTTTGAGGGTGTTTGCACGCTTTCCATGGTTGATATTGATCCGAAACACAATCGGGAAATGCCTTGGATGGTTTGGATATGATGGCAGACTGCAGTCAACTTGGTTTGGTGAGCTGCATGTGTATAAGCATATCTTCATAGCTGGATGTATGCGTATGCTTGTAGTGAGGGTCGAGTGGATCCCACCACCCACATCTCCGCACTCCATCTTCGAACTTCAAAAGCCCGCCCCCAAATGACCACCCCCCACCAAAATCCTCAGAAACAACCACCATCGGCGTCAACGGTAATCACGAGGACTCGCTCCAGTAAGTTTTCCTGCACCCCTCCTTCGTCTACCTGCAACTAGTTCGGTACGGGTCGACTCCGAAGAGCCGTTCACACTGCTCTTCGACTTGACATGAGACTCCGTATTCACGAACCTTTCGGGCTGGATACTCTCCAGCCCAGAAGACAGTTGCTATATCTATCATGCTCTCTGTTTGAGGTCTATGTGATTGGATCACTACAGTTTTCTTAAAAATGATCATATACCATAGTTGACGAGTTACATTTCCTTCTTTTTGTTTAGGTACTGCTCGCTTTGATGAAGGTCGTCGGACTGCTCAGCGGCGGAAAAGATAGCTGTTATAACTTATGCCACTGTGTCAAGAATGGCCATGATATTGTGGCATTAGCCACTCTAGGTCCCGAGGCTGGAACAGGTGAACCTCTCCACCGCATCCCGACTGTTGCAATTGTACTAACTTGTTGACCGTGTCTCTGGTTGTAGATGAGCTTGACTCGTATCTCTATCAGACTGTGGGGCAAGATGGAATCCACCTCGTGGCCGAGGCCCTCCGGCTGCCACTGTACCGCCAAACTATCAAAGGAACCCCCGTCGAGCTCGGCTCAGAATATGGATCGCGCTGCCATAAGAGCTTGATGAAGGGCGTTGAGGGTGATGAAACCGAAGACATGTATAATCTGTTGAATCGAGTCAAGGTGGGGCTCAGATTGTGGATCCCTAACTGCTGTTGTTTTGAATATTTAAAGCCTTTGCAATGTCATACTATTATTCTAACTATCCCTATACCTTGTCCGTCCTTTGTGTCATCATCAGTCCATCCACCCAGAGATCACTGCTGTCTCCGTTGGGGCTATATTGTCCAGCTATCAACGTGTTCGAGTGGAATATGTGTGGGTGGTTCCGGGTTTTCGTTTTCGGCTCAAAAGTGCCCATATTCATTGTGTGCACACGACGCAGTTGTCAGCGTCTCGGTTTGACCGTTCTGGCCTATTTGTGGCAGAGAGATCAGGCAGAACTGCTGCGTGAAATGGTCGAGGCATCCGTTGAGTCGGTGCTAATCAAAATTGCTGGGGTCGGTTTGATGCCTGATCACTTGGGCAAAAGCCTCGCCGAAATGGAGCCTATCTTGACCACTCTGGTAGGTGTGTCAATTCTCACAACCTTGAGCTATTCTGAAGCTATTCCACAGCCGCTAACATTGCTTTCCTTGACCGCATAGAATTCTAAGTATGGTGCACATGTGTGTGGGGAGGGTGGAGAGTACGAGACCTGCACGCTTGATTGTCCGCTGTTTTATAGCAGGATCTCATTGTGAGTTGGATATGTTGTCCCTTGGCAGCTTATTTATAATAGCTTTCTGGGCTGATTCAAGAAATGATTTCGTACATGCCAGGGAGAAGACCTTGCTCACCCATCATAACGAAAGCTCAAACATTGCGCCGGTGGCATACCTACGCTTACTCTCCGCCAAACTTTCTCCAAAACCAAGCAGCGTGCCCGATTTGAATGCAGTAACCGTGCCTCCATTACTCGACGCAGAATCCGTCAAGACCAAGCTTCAAGTTGGAACGCACCAAGTAAGTAAGGTGTTTTTTTTTTTTTGATGTGAGGCAAAACTCGCATTATCTCTAGCTCATTACTGGTAACACTGTAGCCCCCCTCACTTCAACGTACCCGTACAAGCCTTCGTGATACTACAAACAGACAATCGAGTGTCTCTGAATGCGGCGACTGGGTGGTCATAGCTTCAATATTTGGTTCAAGTTCCTCAATCTCTCCCGATAACATTGAACAGACCTTAGAAAACGAAGTTGAAGAGGTTTTTAACAACCTCGAAGGTAAAGCACTTCATTGATCAACATGCACAAGATGTCGCCAAGTTTTAACCAATCGGCGTTTGATGGTCTAGTGCTACTTGCGAAATCCTCTCTGACCTTCGTGGATATTGCACACATCAATCTTCACTTGAGCTCGATGGCCTATTTCTCGGAGGTCAATCGAGTTTACTCGAAGAAGTTTGGCACATCGCCGCCCACACGAGCCTGTGTTGCGAATCCCCTTCCCGGGACCGCCCGCGTGATGCTCGACGCCATCGTCAGACGACCAGCCACTGATCTTCATCATCGAGACAGAGTGGCCCTCCACGTCCAGAGTCGCTCATATTGGGCCCCAGCTAACATCGGTCCGTATTCACAGGCAGTGATGGTTAGGTTTCCAATCTCTTACTGCGAATTGACTTTGTCGAAAAAAAAAGAAACACTAATTCAATGAATTCCTGTTCACATACAGGTGGGATCCAAGATTTTTGTGTCGGGCCAAATTGGCCTCGTTCCAGCAACGTTGACTTTACCCGTGCCAAGATCATTCATGGAAGAAGCAGTTCTATCGCTCCAACACGCCCGCCGGATCCTAGCCACTTTCCCGGGCCCGCAATGGATCGAGAGCATTGTCTGTTACTTGACCGAGATCTCCCATCTGGAGCAGGCTAGGATGGTCTGGCAACACACCAGCTCAATACATCACATCCACATTCCGGTCTTGTTCCTCGAGGTCTCCGAATTGCCTAAGGGTGCACTCATCGAATGGCAAGTCGTCGCAGGAACTGACCAGAGCTCAGCTGATCAGGATCAGGATCAGGATGAACTTGTCGTGCCTGGCCCCGCTTACGTCTCCCTTGGCCAACCTACATTCTACGCATGTCATTCCCGACCTTCTCGGGCCCTCACAGTCATTGGGACTCTTCCAAAAGGTCCGCCATATGATTTTGTTCACCATTTGCCGGGATAGATAGATACAGGTGACTGTCACGACTGATGAGCATTGACTTCTTCTACTTAGATCCAGTCGTTGGAATCGAGTTACCTCCACACCATGCGACATACATCCGTGGCTTCCACACCGCACGGATTTCTGCAGTCGAAGGTATGTGACTCGATTCACAGTCAACCCACTCTCCACCCACATCAATCCCGGCCAATCGTGTTCTTTTACTATGGCGTTTTCTGTTCCTGACTCTCCTCCGGGACACTACTTCATTATCTTTTGAAGCCGAAAGAAGGATCAGGGACAGTTTCGGTTCAAGACAGGATCAAAAAGTCGACGACTGTGCCTTGAGCTTGAGTTGTGTGAACTCGATCGGCTTGAATACTGGCGCAGCTGATTTGGACATCGGATTTTATATGATGGGCGTTCTTTCACAGTAAACACCTCGCAAATCAAATCTCTGCGTCTTCCAGCCTTTTGGCCTTTGTCATGTTGCGAATATATCTCTGTGAGGACTTTTTGCATATCGGGCTTTCTTCCCACAGTATATGCTTTCAATCCACCGCTTTCTCATCTTCTCTGAAAATCGACAGTGTTAGAAATCAGGGACGTGCGGACGTCCCCTCTGATCCTAACCTCTTGCTCAGAATTCGAGTGATCAATTGATGCTGAGCTGTACATTTTCGATAATGTTATATTGAAACTCATGTCTGTATATACAATTTTACATCTTCTTTCACAAGGTCAAAAAGGTCTTAGTTGATGGATGGTTTAAGAACAGTGCATTGCTGAACCTTCAACCCGGTAACCAGAGTACCACTAAACCACAGGAACCTTGAATTTGCTTGGATTGATTGCCCTTCTGTTTTGAATGTGACACGAAATAAGTGCGGTGATGAATTGAGCAAAAGCCAGAGCCCTACTCTGATCAATGCCAAAAAGCAAGTCATGAAGTCGGAAATATACCCAGATTTTGGTCATACATAGTGTAACATCTGCTGACTCCCGTCATGAGCTTTGAAGTAAGCTCTTAGCAGATGGGAAGCAGTCGAGAGCAATAGCTTATTGTCCTGTGGATTTTGTGCGAAATATTTGATCAACTCAACTTGAATCTCCCCGAGCGTCCAAAGGGGGTAAGGGGCATGGACGATTCCGCAAAGAGGCAAGCTTTTCTGAGGCTTAAACATTTCAGTCCACAGCCATTTCAACCAGGCCGATTGAGAAGATGCTGATCTTCTTCCGGATCTCTTGAGCGCGTTCTCGTGATGCTCATTGAGAGCGGCGAGCAATTGCTTATACAACGCATTCATGCCGGCTGTTTTTTGGAGGTGCCCCGTTGGACCGGTTAAAATTCTTAATATTTTAGTCCCATCCGGTGCGGTAGGATCGGGGAACGCAGGCTCGACCATTGCGAAGGGCAGTTCGTAGTGCACCCTCAGCTTGCTAGGGTCGACGCAGTTTCTGGGGTGCCGGGAACAATGAAACCGTTTCTCGTTGAGCTTGTTCCGAAACTTCCGATGATTCTCTTTCAGAGCCGGGTCCGAGATCCGTCCTGAGTTTAAAAACCTGTTCCGATGGAACTGGCTGAATCGAGCCGTGCTAGGCTGATGGGTCAGGACTTGTGCTTCTACAATTATTGGCTCCGGGTCCACATCGGCCGAAGATAAGCCATCAGTTGCCCGACCCATCGACGTATACGAGCTTGCAGGGTCTCCACCAGAGGAGGGCTGAGCCACTGCTGCCTCTGTCAAGTGGCCAAAATCAAGCCAGTAAAATCAATTCGTGGATTAGCCTTTTTTTCGATGCTGCAGTCAACCATCTTATATGCGACGAACCTTGGTGACTTTGACTGTCGGTCGGCAATGGCATCCCGAATCCATCATGGTATGGGCGAAGCGAATCTGGCAAGTCTAGAAGTCTTCCGAGTCAGTCGGTTTGATTACGAGAAAGGAAGCTATCATCAACTCACGGGAATTTGAGACTCCCTCAGCTGGAGTATTTGGAGAGTATGTCAGCTTGGCAGATGGGCCAATGGGATTGGTGATTAGTTCATGAGTGTATTTAGTCTCTACGAGACGATTCGGAGGAGGTACTTCTGGCGGGGGAGCCGGTAGGACTGGGGCGACAATGTCGAGTACCGCTGAAGGCCCTGTCGTTCTCGGTTGGTCGAGGGCAAGAAACCGATGTTGAGAGGCCTCCCATGCGCGCTGAAACTCGAGTGAAAAGGCGCCGATCCCAGGGTGTTGGGATAGCTTGGAGTGGAGGATGTCCGGGGATGTTAGTCCAGAATAAACAGAGTCCTCCTCCCACCAGACACTTTTCCAGCCCGCGTTCGTGTCAACGGAGGCCACACACCACCATGTGAGAGGGAATAGGAGAATGGGGATAGACATCTGTTTGAATAAAAGTCGACGACTCTTCTCGAGGAATCAGTGTTTTTTTTTTTTTGTCTTTCTTTCTTCTTTCTAGGAAATTGCGAGGTTTTCCTTTCGTCTCATGAAGATCTGAGGTATATCCTCAACCCTGATCCAAAGTCCCTGATCGCCTTGAAGCTGGCCGGCGCAAAGATATGTATCTCCATGTTCCGAAACACAATCCGAGTTCGAAGCCACTGGAATCACACTCATATCGTTTCAGAGAGCCGGGAGAACTTGAAGGGCGACTCAAGCCTCTCAAAGGTCTTTATTCGGTCGAGGCTCGCGCTTCGCACCGGCCAGGTTATATGTTAGATCCTCTCGACGTTGGTGACTTCTTTCTGGCTGGCGTTAGGTGAGCAGGAATCTAGGGGTGAAATGTAGACAGCAGGGTCAAGTTCCCGAGCTGGCGTGGTTGCGCAATACTGTACGAATTCGCATAACATTAACCCGCTTGCTTCGTTATCCTCAGGAGCCTGTGAGGCTGTCAAGTCTTTTTCCTTTTGGGGTCACTTGGCAGCTTGAGCCTTTAGGTCATATTGGGTAATCGTTGAAGTGTTTAATTGTCCTCTTTATCACACCAATGGGCAACGTTTGGCCATAGCCGGCCAGGAAGAGTTGTACATCTGGCAGTTCTGGATTTCTGTGTGGAAATGGATGGAAACATGTAGTTCAACTTGCTACACGGGGTGCATGGTTGACTTTGTTTTGTTTTGAATGCGAGAACAAATGATTAGAGTTTCTCTTACAGCCTACATAGAGTTAGAGGTGGTAGGCCGCGGAGTGAAACAACCTGTGGCATTTGAGACTGAACGGCTCAAGATGCACATGAAGAAACGCGTCAAACTCATCCTTGGACGCGTTTTACACCCGCCTGGACCGTCCCCTACCGTCCCCATGATGAGCTTCTACCCGGCGACGCAGCCAGCAAGTGCGGGGCGTCTTGTGTCAAGTTCGGGACGAGGAAAGGATGAGTCGGGTCGCTCAAATTTACCTTCGGTGCATGTCACGGGCCAGGTCGAATATGGGGCATTTGGTGACCGGCGACCAAACATGGGGGAGCAGGCGTGGGTTGGCCCGGTTGGCCCAAGTATTATGTAGCTGACCCTACTGGGAGCAGATAAATGAGGTTTCCTCCATGTCTCATGAATCGGCGGTCTTTGTTGTTGGACCAGGCTCGAGTAATTGTGGAGTGTGCCGGACGGCTTCCTCTCCCCAAACATCAGAGAAGCCTCAGTCAAGTTAAGTTAGCCATCAAGGCGCCTGATGGCAATCAGCTGTTTGTAGGCCCGGGCCTGATATCCGATCCGACAGGAGCACCGGGCCATGCTTGGGGCCCCGGCAAGGACATGACGCACTTGACCTTCTACTCAAGACCGAGCCCACCGTAAACCACCTTTTGCTCTCAAACAACTCGAAACAACTTGACCGGCCCCCCTCGTATACGGATGAGATGGACACCGCTTACCGAAAGATAGACGTTGATGCTTATGACGATGACGCAGTGACAGAGGAAGGTCAGAGGATTTGTAACTTCGTTATATTTATTATCAACTTACACCGGTAGATTTGCTTCTATCTTCGTTCTACCATAACAAACCGCTGAATCAAAATCGATTTGGGTTACCCTCACTCAGAGTTATACACTCACGATCCCAGGTCAGCGGAAGAAGTCTTGGCTGAGGCTCAATCTAAGACCACTCAAGCTCGATCATTTCTCACTCGGTCGGTCTCAGTTTATGCTTGTCGTCAAACCTGTTCCCCAGAACACTCTTGGTCATCCTCCAGGAAGTCCTGAGTTTAAGCGAGGTTTTGATTTGGAAACTGAAACGTTTCCATTGATCTTACCCACCCCTCAGCGGCGATGTGGCATCAGCGCTAAAGCTACTGCTAACTTCGCCACCCTACGGTCCCTCTTCATCGGCCCTTGACAGCGCAAAGTCACTTACTCTCTCCTCGGTCATCGAAACATTGTCGTCAACCCGAACTTCGGAGATTGCGTCGATCGTTCAATCTTTTGATCAGTCCGAACAGGATTGGCTCATGAAGTACCTCTACAAAGGGATGAGTTCGATCGGAGATAGCAATTCGGCAGTATTACTCAATTGGCACGAAAAGGTTAATAATCTACTGAACTTCACGATTCCTTAACAAATGCTCTCCCTCGAAGCTAACACCCCCGTCAATTGCTATCATTTGTCCACTCTTCAACCTGACATATTTTCGGAATAGTTGACGGAAGTCGCTGGCACGGGTTGTATTGTTAGAGTGATGACTGATCGCAGAAGAGTGTAAGAATTTTAGTAATCACATCCCCATCAAAGGTAAACCTTCATGCGATAAAAATTTAAAATACAAATATAAAGCCCACTCAAAAATGTTCATCAAGCTTTTCACGTGTTATTCTACTTAATTGTAACCCAATGAGACCTACGAAGTTCAACTCAAATTGAGGGTATACATGCCCAAAGACAAACATGAATTGAGAATCATGCAGCAGTACTTCACTTTCACCAAGGCAAATGTTCTTTTGGGTTTTCTAGCCATAGCCTACCTATGTATCCCGCTTGGTAGCTTATACTGTCGGACAAAGAGTTTAGTCACCAGCTACATTGAAGGATGTCATTGCTGGACGTGCTTAACGTCCTATTCCTTGTGCAATCGATTCCATTTCTTTTCGATTTTTGCACACCAGACCGATAGTGAGCCCGAGCCCGATTGATGTGAGATAAAGGGTGGTGATCTTTCAATTAAACCTTTGATGGATCTCGCCGCCTTTGAAGCGGTGAAACTACTTTCTACCCGGGACGGCGACATCGTCCGGCACTCGACTGCATAATTCACGGCCAGCAGAAACAGGCCCAGGTTTAGGGCCTGTACACGTAGGGCTTGAAAATCCAATTTCTTAGAATTCATCTTCCTCAAATTCACATATCATCTCAAAAGTGACCATTCCAAATAGAGAGCTTTTGGCCTAAAAGTGAAGAATTTCAACATCAGACCTCTTGAATTGTTTTCAATTTTTGTGTAGAAGCCAGGAAAAATGATATATTTTCAAAATTGAATCCCATGGTATAGGCCCTTAATTTTAATCTTGATCATTGAACTTCGTCCAGTTGTTTTTCAGGCCTGGGGCATCCAGGTGACGACCGATTCCTCGACTGGTGCCTCTTGGCAAGCAAGGCATTGGCAAGCAAGGCATTCTCGCATGGCACACATCGTCAATCGACTCGTCAGACAAGCCAGTCCGGCAAGTGTTCGGACCGACTCGGACCGGCGAGTCCTGCAGCCCTCCACCTCCAGCTTTCCGAATTCGTCGGGCATACACAGACCGAGCAAACCTCGTAGTTGCTTGTCCAGCGGATTCATCGATAGAGGGTCCGTTACTGACCGCAATGGTGGTTTTCCACCTTGCCGACCAACACCATTTGAATAATTGCAGGCCTCCCGGCTTGAATACTCGAGAGGGGACGTCTGAAATTTGCCAGAATGCTATAAATGAACACCCATACTCCCCACCTTCCAAAGCTTCTTCAAGCAAGCAAGCAACACCTAGCTTCCCACATTAATAATATATCTGTCCCCTCAAGTAGTATCAGTAATTTATCACGAAAAATAGGGTACTGGTTACCCTTTCTCCCTATTCAATATTTCAGCGTACAATTAATTTATTCATCTCAAACAATACTCAAATCAACATGTTCACTCAACGCAACGCACTCTTCATCGCTTTGGCCATCACTTTCACCAATCTTCTTCTCAGTGTTCAAGGTCTCGCGCTCCCATTGAGGTAATTAGCTCTATCTGCAACGAAAATATGAATCAAGTTCAGTTGTCTGACAGACTTTCTTCTCTCTTTCCAATCATCTTTTCTTTTCCAAACAAAGCAGTCAGACACAAGCAGTCCATTCATCATATCTCAAGAGAAACGTCAACTCAACGATCAGCGCTCCGGTCAATCCAAAGCATGACTTGCCGGGTCAATCCGGTGTCCCTCTGGTCCAGCGCGACATCCCTCCTCCCGTGCTGAAAGCGATCGAGACGGTCGGTAAATTCGTCAAGCGGGATTCCTTGGCTGAGCGCGACATCCCTCCTCCCGTGCTGAAAGCGATTGAGACGGTCGGTAAATTCATCAAGCGGGATTCTTTGGCTCAGCGGGACATTCCTGCTCCCGTGTTGAAAATGATTGAGACGGTCGGCAAACTTGTCTAGAGCCTGATTACAAATTATCATTTTTTTCGGTCATAATCGGTATTCGTTTAAATCACCTGTTCGTTCCCCGCGGCTTCACCGATGGCGACATGTAAAGGTGCTTGGTGTCTCCATCAAGAGGAATTGTTTGAATTTTTAGTCTCATTTTTTAATCCTCATAATGCATTAATGAAATTTATAGAAAAAAAAACCTTTGCAACTTGACGTACACTCTATCAGCAATGGCGCAAGAGCTAAGCTGGCTAAGTCAGCACGCGTAGCGTACTTAACCTTGCTCACCTAAGCTAATCAGAGCGGTTCAAGCGCTTCGATCGACGCTTATAGATTTCATGGGGAAACTAAAAAGTTATCAGCGCACTTTTTACAGCTACGCTTCCCACTTCAGTAGCGGTAAAACGCTACTTGAGCGGTGTTTCTGCCGCTACTTGAGCGGAATGTTTGGCGCTGCTTCAGCGGTGTCTCTGGCGCTTGGAGCAATGTCACTGGTGTCGAGATGGAATTCTCATAAGAGTAATGTAAACCAAACATTTCGCGAATATAAGCCGTGCATCTAAGGAAAGGTCCTACTATCTTAGATAAATGGGCAAGTTGGGTCGAGAAGGAAAGTTCATGGAGACAGAAACTGAAGGAAAAATACGACGAAAACAGGCAGCAGACATTTCAGAGTACAGTGATGCAAAAGAAAACTGGAATAGAGCCTAAAGCCTTGTCATGAAGGTTTGTGTGAAGTGCAGCAGATTCATGTGGGAGCGGAAAAGGTGCATTCGTGCCAATTAGCCTTTTCCGCTCTGACAATCTCAAACAGTAGATGTTTTGGTCTCGCCAAGACATTTTGCCAACATGAAATATCCCTCCAGATGACCTCAAGTGTACATAATCTTGAAAAAAGGGAATCGTTCAAACATTAACCTATGATGGGACCTCACTTGCCAAACCCAGGCCTCCGCAACCTTTTGCTACGTATCCTAAAGGAAAGTCTGGGCGGATCAATCTGTACAATGTTTGTCACAAATGTTTGCCACGCAGGCGGTGCAAGCTGCAGCGTATAAGAAAGCCTACATACCAATCAAGACTTCCAGCGTATGTGAAGTTTCTTTCTCCATGAAAAAAACGTTAATTCGCTCTCCTGCTACAGACTCTCAAAACTCCAAAGGTAAAGATATGGCCCAGTTTATATTTGGATCGCTCACAATCCTATTGTCACTTCTGCAACTGAGGGTGTCTGCCTATGAAGTTACTCTCGATCCGCCCATCAATTCTAACAACACAATCCAAAAATTCACTCTGCAGCGTAAATTATCATGGACCAACCAAGACTTTGTCCTCTACAAGCAAAACTCTACTGCACCGATCATCAAGATAGAGAACCATATGGCCAATCAATTCACAGGTTTTTTTGGTTTGGATCTGACATTTCCTGATGGTCGTTACCTCGACGTGAAAGCCAATGTGCGTATGTCAAGCCAAAATAAAATCAGCTTCCAACTCTGGGATGTTGAGATCCACCTCTGCCGCCCTTCCAAATTGAATAATCTGAAACTTTTTTTTGGACCGGCATCACCTGTCAAAATCAATCAAAACAGGCAGGTCAGGTGGTCTGTGGCTTCCGACAGATTTACGAAATCTCTGATGGAGTTCGATTTCGGATTGATCCTCGAGGAATCCACTCTGATCGATGGAAGATAGATAAGTCTGGAAACCTGACTGCGAATTATACTTGGTATCGTAACGTCCGTCGTCTTGCAGGTGTTATCAAAAGCGATAACAATCGAAAAGTCGCTTGTTTTAACGGTTGGTTCTCTTGAGCATGTCACCCCGCTCTTTGGAGCTTCCATGCGCAATTTTTGAAAACTGAATAATCTTCTTTCTCTTTTGAATTAGCCACAACATTTGGTAGCAAGGCAATGTCAGGAATTTTTCACTCAAGATGGCCTGGGCTCTCAAATTATACAATTTCGACCAACGGGGACGTGCCAATAGTGAGTAAACTTCGTTTCCCCCTGTTTTGACATCCCTCCCCATGTCTAGATGAGGTTCAAATCATTTAAACCCAATGTAAAAATTTTCAGGAAGTTTTGGCTTCATTATATGCCACAGCAATTGTTAGAAGAGATAAATGTGGCTGGTAATTATTACCAACTATGCAAGCCTGGACTGAATATGTTTCAAGTAATAATTTCCCAATCCTACCAATGATGTGGCTTTGGGTTTCTTATCACCCTTCTATAATCTTTTGCAATTCTGCAACAAGACTGAAATTAGAAGAACTGTATGCTTCCAATGGCAAAATTATGTTATCTTCTTTTGCTTTTGAATATCACATCTGTATGTGTGGCCTGAATTTCACCATTCAAACTCTTTTATCAATCTAGTTGTGATTTTCATTTTTCTCTGAATGCCAAGAAGCTACCTTTTTATGTTATGGTCTGTCCTGGATTTTGTCAAGAAAAATATCTGAAATTCTATTACCCTGTCAATCACCAGAAATTGAAAATGTTGGATCCTCTCATTCATATTATTTCTCAATTCAATATTATCAAACAGGGTGTTTGGGAGTGGAGACAAAGGTTGAATTCCTGATACATAAGAAACAAGTTTTCATTGTAATTATTGGATCATAATTTCCAAATATCTTGAGAAAATTCATGAATATTTGGTTTCCTCTTCTGGGGGACCACACCCAATCCCTATTCAACAACTCTCAAGTTTTATGAAGCATCAATCAAACTGCCCTAGGACCACTACTGGACCACGGTACCACAGGCCTGGTCCTGGGAGCTTTCAAAACAAATGAAATTCTGGGAGTGGGAGTTGGCAAACCAATTCAAGATTGATATTTTTTTCTTGGTTCCATTCATAAAACCAAGTCTTCTAAATGATTTTTGGTGTGAGTTGATTGATTTCAAGCAGTCATTGGTCATTTTTATCCCCTCATTTTTTCTGAGTTTAACAAGTGCCAGAGAGATGTATAGAATTTTTATTTAGACAACAATAGGTTTGTAGTATGTAATTCACAAATTTTGCCATTTACCTTGTGTATCTTGAATTCTGGACAACAAGATGTGAATGAGGGTCAAGTCCTTGTGGGTTTTTTCAAGTTTTTGAGGACCTTGCCTACCTTCAAGCAAAGTCTTTGATCTCAAACTTGGCAAAGTCCACAAAGAGTTTCCCGCATTCAGGCAAAGTCTTCAATCACAAACTTGGAAAGTTACCCAAGGAATGTGGCTGATGGCAGGCAAAATACTTGATTGCCAACTTATGAAGCTTATGGGGATTGAACCCAAAGGCAGGTAGAGCCTTTGAACAAGAAATTGAAAAAATGTGAAATGACTTGACCCAAAGGCAGCAAAGTCCTCCCTTGAAGAATTGACAGAATCTGAAATGACTGCTCTCAAATGTGGGCTGATTACTTTGTTGCAGACTTGGCAAAAACTGAAAAAATTTCCAAAGTCAGGCAAGTCCCTCAGTTGCAAAATTGAAAAAAACCTTCCAGGTTCCAAATTGGGGAATCTACCAGAGAATGGGCACAGTCCTTGCATATTCTGACAATCTTCTGAGCAAGGATTTCACTGGTAGTGTACAGTGGGTCAACAGTGAAAAGTGGCTGCTTATTTTGGATTACAGAGCCCCAAAAAACAAACTTCAAATCATGAGACTTGGTCAGATGGTGCATAATGGTTTCCAAAAAATGAATATAATGAAAAAACAAAAAAACAAAAATAAACTTTCAAAATTTTTGAAAAATAAAAAATAAAATTGATTTTTTTCAAGGGAGTTGGAAAAAAAACTCCCTAAAATTTGCCAATGACTCCCATTTTGGTCAAGGGGTCATTGGGTGGGAGTCGTTCCTCCAAATCAATGGCCTATTTTATTTTATTTTATTTTAATTTTCAGGGAGTCGGCACCCCAAACCACCCCTCATGATTGCCCTCATGGTTGAGAGGGTTTGGGAGTCACTCCCATGACTGGAAGGATTTCCTTCCAGTTGATGAGAAACAAAAACCTCATTCTGGTTGATGACGTATAACAACCTCATCAACAGGAAGGAATTCCTTCCAATCAATGAGGTTGTTACATCTCATTGATCGGAAGGGATTCCTTCCAGTCAATGAGGTTTTTATACGTCATTGATCCAAAGGGATTCCTTCAGTTGATGAGGATGTTATACCTCATCAACTGGAAGGAATCCCTTCTGGCCAATGAGGTTGTTATACCTCATCAACTGGAAGGAATCCCTTCTGGCCAATGAGGTTGTTATACCTCATCAACCAGAAGGAATCCCTTCCAGCTGATTAGGTTTTTATACCTCATCAACCGGAAGGAATCCCTTCCAGCTGATGGGGTTGTTATACCTCATCAACCGGAATGAATTCCTTTTGTCAATGAGGATGTTATACCTCATCAACCAGAAGGAATTCTTTCCGGTCAATGAGGTTGTTATACCTCATCAACCGGAAGGAATTCCTTCTGGTTATGGGAGTGACTCCCAAACCTCCTCAAGAATGAGGGGTGGTTTGGGGCGCCAACTCCCTAAAAATAAAAAAAATAAAAAAATAATTGGATGGCCGACTCCCAAATTTGGACATTGATTTGCAGGAACAACTCCCACCCAATGACCCCTCAACCAAACTGGGAGTTGTTGGCAAATTATAGGGAGTTTTTTTTCCAACCCCCTTTTTCAAAAGCTTCAATATTCATTTTGGGGGAGTGGGAGTGCTGAGAGAAAGAAAGAATGGAACATGGGAAGAATTATTATAAATGAAAAAACTGGAGCCAAAAAAGGTTTAGCCAGGTTGGTTTTCCAGATTGAGGCCAAAACAGTAGATTCTAGTGCCTGGCCCTAATGTGGGCTGGTGAATGACCCACTCAACAGCTGTTTAAAGCCATCTGGAAACCATTTTTTACAAAATTTTCATTTATAATCATTCTTCTCATGACCCAATCACTCTACTTTCTCTCAATACTCTCACTCCCCCAAAATGAATATCAAGGCTTTTGAAATATATATATATATATATATATATGAGGGTACACACTCTCAACGGCCGATGGAAACCGTCTTGGCCGTTGAGGTGTACACAACTCAGCAGCCGAGACAATTCCTCTCGGCCGTTGAGGGTATACACTATCACCCGGGCCAAGGGGAAAACACCTCGG